GTCAAACATATTCTTCAATATATCTTCCACAGGGATGAAGAATTCTGTTCTAAATTTTACAAAATCTGCTATCAAGAAAAGGCTCAGCGACAGCTAAGTTAATATACCTGAAACAATGACATTCAGAGTAATTACTTTATAGGGCCTTGTCTCTAACGGGAGTAGTTATATGGCTCACAAAAAAAGATACAGAAAATGAACTGCCTGATGTTCTGGAAAACACAGGACACCTGATGAATTATTCACTCACTCCTACCTCTTAGAATGACTCATGCCTGCTTTTCATGAGTTATGTTCTCAGGAGAAAGGGTAGGGTTTTTCTGCTTTTAGGTAGGGTAACAAAATTATGAAGCATTAGAAAACTATCAATAAATCCGATTAATTGAAACAAGCTAAGTAGAGCCATATTTCAAGCATGAATTATTTAAGTGTAAGACTGAGTATAAAGTTAGTGGCTGTCGTTTACTTAAGTGAGGTCAAATTTCCTTCAACATGAAGGGAACAACAGAAAGACAAAGGGCGGGACTTTGCACTTATGAGAACTAAGAGACATACATGATGTGGCTGTCCATTTACCTTTAGAGAAGATGAACATGGTCCAAGAGATTGCAATGTCTCATACAGTGGAGGCTCCATGATATTTCATTCTTCCCTGTCTGCCACCCAAAGACTACCTCAAACAAGGACAAATACTGGCCTGTTCTACATCTCTGTCCATCCCTGTTTAGGTACTACAGTGTCATACCTAAAGCAAGCAGCACCCACGATGCTATCAGGGCACATAAGAACAGCTTTGCTTCTTGGCATTCAACAAGGATTTGTAGACTACAAGCCAGTGAGCTCAAAGATGGAAGTTTATAATTTGTAATGGAAGCTGGCACACTGAGACAACCACCGAGAGGCAAAGTGAGAGAAGTGGGCCATGTCCTAAAGCGGGTCTGAATCTACATGCTTTCATTCATCTGGTAACTGGCCAGGCTAGAGATAGTTACTTCATGCCCTTCTGACATTTTCCAAATTTCTAAACATGGAAAAAAACAAAAATTGGTTCAATGAGGATTAAGGCTAGAGTAAAAATCACTGATGTATGTGTTGGTCAAGTTAACAAGACAAACAATGTCCCTATTTTTCTAGTTATGATGCAGGAAATAAACAAGTTTCAGAGTTCAAGGAATAAAAGCAAGGTGATTTTCATGATAGGAAAGAAAAAACAGTAACTATACTAACAGTTCCATGAAACCATAAATATAGTCCAGGATTTAAAAAATACTAGAAAGCAACTAACTTTTGAAACTACTCCTCCTAACTTCATATTAATTAACAGTGCACTGGCTCCATCCACCAGCTCCCCATTCTAAGGCAAACACAAGCACCACATCCACAGATGAATAGTCACAGAGAAATGTGCTTGTCATACTAAAAAAATCAGTATGTGAAGCGATGCATATGTTCATATGTTACTTAGATTTGGCTATTCTACTATATATCTCATCTTAAAATGTCACACTGTATGTCATCAGTATGTACAATTTTGTCAGTTAAAAAAACAGGCATCAAAGAAACAGCTGAATTTCTACACTATCAGAAGTCAAGGGATGGAAAATTAAATTAGATTGGTAAACCAGGACCATAAATTCATTCTCATTCTAAAATAGAACCAAGAGTCCCTTTACAACATCCAATCTACAACTATCCTAAAATAATGGCAACATTAACAAATCATGAAAGTATCAGTTATTTTTATTAAGTGTCTTTCATCTGCCAAGCTCTACTAGAAGTGCATTTTCACATGAACTTGGGAATCTACACAAAATTTTCCTGGTAGAGGCCTGTGAAAAATACACAAATTAAAATTATTAATTTATTAAGGAAGAACCTGAAGCACCAAGAGTCTATGTATGTCAGTTTTCCAAAATCATGGTGCTTACAAAATGGCAGAAACAGAAGCTAAAGTTCAGGTGTAAGGCTTAAGTGATCATGTTGGTGAAATTCTCTCTCTCGCATACGGTACCTATGATGATGCTCTAGTAAAGCATTTTTAAAGCACAGGTTCACAGTTATTTTCAGGCTAAAGCTTTGAAAGAGAGGTCCTTAGATCTCTCCCAAGGGAACTCATCTCCACCCTCCATCCCAGATTTGAAAGAGAGGTACCTAGAGCTCTCCAAGGGAACCCGTCTGCACCCTCCATCCCAGCTCGGTCTCTTCACCTTTCTTCTTATCCCATTTGACCCCTTGAGAATACAGAAGCACAGCATGACGGCAAGAAAAGGGAGTTCTCAGTGAGGGACAATGGATGAGAACAGCAGATGCTCAAGATGTGCTTGATGAACTACAGTCAGCTGAACAAAGGGAAACATCTGTCATCTGCAGGAGAGAGCATGCTACAGACTAACCAACCACCATCCCCTACCTGGGGGTTGGGGGGAGAAAGTACCTGGCCCAGTACAAGTCCAAAGATGAAGTACCCAATAATAACTGCATGTGATCCATGAGCCTTTGTACAGCCCACTGTCCTCCACCTTCCTCTTGATTTCTCTTCCCCAGAACCTTGCTTTCCTCTGCTTCGTGCTGTGTCCTCCACTTCCTCCATCAGGAGTAGGGGGAGGTGATGATTTCAAAGGAAAGGAACATGGTGAACAATCACAGTCCCTTTCTATCAGTCCGCACCACTCCCGCACACGTTTCCATGCAGGAGATAGAGAAGCTTCAGCTGAGGAAGGAATGCAAAAGCCTCTATCCATTATCTTCTCAGTCTACCCCAAAGTGGGGATTCTCAGGAAGGTGTGAAATTAGCCCAGCTTGTCAATCATGGTGCACAGTTGGACTCTGGCTACAGTGTAACACAGGGAAAGAGGAAGCAAACTTTTGAAAATTAAACTGGATGAGAACCCTCCCCTCTGGGCAGGAAAGGTACTTTTAACTGACTTCTCACAGGAGTGAAGGTTCAGCAATGGCCTCAAGCCTTTCTTCCTGGCAGAAGGAAATGAGAAGACTGGCCACAGGCAGCCCAAGCTGGAAGCCAAAAACAGCTCAGATAAATGCTGCAAAGTCCTTTCGTCAGCAGCCTGCTAAGGAGGAATACTGTAGGCCTAACTGTACTGTCTGCTCACCCACCTTCCCTCCCTCCCTTCCTTCCTTCTTGTTTTTGGCACTGGAGATTGAACTCGGGACCTTGCACTTGCCAGGCAGGCACTTATGCTGTTGAGCTATTTCCCTGGCCCAGTGCTCTTAATTTCTAAGAGGTGCTTTAACTCTCACTTGCTTTAAGAGTCTTGTGATGGCCATGCAAAAGTTTTGTCAACAACAAAAGTCTATGGAGCTAAAAGTTCAGCTCAATGGTAAAGGAGCATCTGTAAAGCCCTGGGTTTCATCTCCAGTGGGAGGGGAGCGGAGCCTGGCTCAAATGTGGCCAGGAAAGCTAGAGGATGATACTTGGTGAGGACAAACCCCCTCTGTTCTGGCCATAATTCCTATTACAAAATATTGGCTTGGCTTCCATCCCCCACCAAAAGAAGCTGTCCAACCTCTTGTAGCACAGAAAGAGAGGAAACTGAAGCCCACAGGCAAAACTATGGCAAAGGCATTTAATTTAGCCTCCAGAAATAGAAGCATCCTCCATGGCACTGCCAGGGAGCTGTTATTATGGGTCAAACAGCAGCAACAGCAGCAACAGCAGCACACAAGTACCACAGAATCACAGTGAACCTGCCGCAGAGAGCCCTCCCAGGCATGAGTTCCATCAGGCCCTCAGGCTCCCCCTTCTTCCTTGAGGGGACAAGGGACAGCCTACAGGTTGTGGTTCTTCCCCTGCAGCAGGATAAAATCTGTCTCTCTTCCATGCCCTCACCTTTCCTGAAGGTGAAATGGAGATGACTGAGGCTCACAGCGGAGTCTGCACTCTGCAGTCCTTATAACAAAGCCACTGTGTAAGTTCAATGGCACAAACAAAAATGAAGCTCAGGTAAGAGAAACAAAAAGGCAGGCAGAGGTAACTAACTTAGCCCAGAGGTGAAGAGCTACTGGGCCAACAACGAATACAGGCCAAGAAACGCAGTCCTCAATCATTAAGGAAATGCAAAACCAAACCAGCACCCATTAAGCAGCTTTCATAGAAAGCAGCCCGGCAGTTCTGTAAAAATTCATGCACATAATCACCATAGGATCCTACTCCCAGATGCACACCCCAAAGCAAGGTCTCCTAACAAGTATCCATATGCCCAAGTTCACGGCAGCATTATTCACGATGGCCAAAGGGAGACACAAGCCAAGGGTCCACCGACAGCCACACAGGGACACTGTGGCAGAGACACAGGATCCAACAATACCCAGCCTCAAATGGATGCTCTAACACATGCAAGCCACCCCTTGGGTGAACCTTGATGATGCTGTGCTAAGTGAAATGAATGAGCCAGATGCAAAACGAAAAATCGAATGACCGCACTTATAGGAGGTGGATTCGTCAAATTAACAGAGACAGAAAATAGAATAGTGTGGGACAGGGCAATGGGGAATTAGTGTTCATGATTACAGAGTTTCAGTTTTACAAGATGAAAAGAACTGAGAAGTGGATGATGCTGACAGCTGCACAACCATGTGACTACTCAATGCCAAAGAGCAGCTCTCAACAATGGATAAGATGGCAAATCTCAAACGATGTGTATCTTGCCACAATCCAAAAACTGGAGGCTAAAGGCTGGGGAGATGGCTCAATAGAATAAGCGCTTCCTGGGCAAGAGCAAGGGTCTGAGTTCAATCCCCAGTTCCACCAAAAGACCCCAAAAACTGGAGGCTAAAATAAAAGATAAACAGCCTGTTTCTTCTTCAAGATTAAAAAAAAAAAAAAAGATCTTCCTGGGGAGGGAGGAAGAATATTTAAGACGGGAACCATGGAACTTTTCATATAAAAACAGCACGTTTTTAAGCTTTCAAAACTTGGGCCGAGCTTCTAAACAGTTAACACCACACACGTGCACCCCCCGGAACCACAGGAAGCTACTCACCTCACTGAGGTAAATAAAAAAAGAGCAGGTGGACCCATCCACTCCATAGTCAGCGTAGCAGGGATCGGAACGCCACATATCTTTCATCCACTGAAACGGACAAGAGCAGAGAACACGTCTGAGAAGCCTGTTGCTGGTATCCCTGCCCGTGACGCTGACACCGACCTGGAGGGTAGGATGGGTAAGGGCGGGGAGGACAGCTCGAGCTTCGGACTGGAGATGGGACAGAAGGACGGCTGAGCTGAGGTCAAGATGACCCGCTGCCTAGCTCCCACAGGATCTGCAAACACACACCGCGTGGGCTGGGCCCAAACGGAGGTGCAGCGAGGAAAGAAGGGCCAGACAGGCAAAGGCTAGAAAAGCTTCAAGACGAAGTGCCGATGGGCCATCACAGGGAACCATCCTCTGGGCACACAGATCCAGGAGACACGGCACAGCGCAAGATGCAGAATGTGGAGAGGAGGGTCCGAGTGGCCCTGAGCATGAGTGAGCATTTGCATGCACCCCCAAAATAAGGCCAAGTCGTGTTTCCAAGGTTGGGAAACCATCCTAACTGCACACCTGAGCTGAAATTTTTGTCTAAATGCTCCTGAGCAAGTGGCAGTCTCAAGGGCAAACCACACAAATAGAATTTCATGTTTTTCTAATGTTGGACTGCAGGTGAGTGGAGGGCACCAGGCCTAACACACCTGAGGCCCTGGGTTCAATCCCACACACACACACACACACACACACAAAAGTGAAAGAATTGTCAAGTGTCTCTGGGTACTAAACTAGAAATGCTTATGAGTCATTTAAACGACAATCTCATTTAAATAAGCAAGGGCCTGGGGAAGAGATAAGATGGGCTCTAAATAACAGCAGCCCCTTGTCACTGGACCTTGAAGGATTACCCACTGGAGGCTGGGGAAGAAAAAGAAAGGCAGTTTCTAAGACCCAGCCGTTGTGTGAAGTGGCCTGTGTCCCTCCAGTATGACCAGTAACAGCCACTGTTGACTGACCCATGGAACAGGTATAACCAGACAAGGGTCCTCACAGCCACAGTACAGAACTGACAGGATAGGGGAACCCTCCAAGGATTGGTTCAAGGGCTTATTCACCCACGTGTACCACTGGGAAGCAGAAAGATCGAGGATGATGGGAATGAAAAGGTGTTGCTTCCTTCCACCTTACCTTGATTTTCCCCTCGCAGTGGGGGTAGCCATCCATAGGAGGCAATACACATTTTTCTTGAGCTCCATTAATGATATCTGAAAGGAATGGAAACAAAGGATACCATGAGGTCCGTGAAATACAAGCCTAACGTCCTTATAAGCAGAGAGGCAGGAAGAAACCAAAACAGAGGCCTAATTTTGGCAGACAGGTCGTGGGTCCATGGAGCCGCTCCAAACGTGTCTGACTGGTCTATAGTGAGGACCTGACCAAGCACAGCCCACAAACAGGACAGCCAGAGCCCAGTGCAAGGGGGTTGCTAGGGCAAATGGAGTGCTTTGCTTGGAGATTTACAATGAAGAAACAGAGAAAGCAAATAAGCAGGGAGCAGTAAGTACAGTTCTGAGACTAGGCGGACCCCTCAGGCAGGCAGGTCCATTCTAGCATTAGCTGTAAACGGAGCTCATGGACAGACTTCATGAAGATATGTGCATGAGCTCAAGAAGGGAAAAGAAGGACGACGCTGGAGCGCAGAGGATGAGACAGCCACAGGCCACAGCTGTGCCGCCCTGAGGACTCCTACTCTGCTTCTATGACATCTGACTTCTTACAGATCTGATTAAGATTTTCCTGATGGGATCTGTATTTTGTTAAATATTTCCTTACCAAAAATCCAAATATTAACTAGTTTAAGTGGATACCTGCTAACTACAGAGTCAAAGTTAAAAAGACTGTCTTCAAGAAGCTTAACTCTTCACAAGCAGCAGCCACACGCACAAGTGAACAATGGTGTAACAGACATGATTTGGGCCTGGACCAGGGAAGGACACACAACTTGGTCTCTAAGAGTCAAAGAAGGCCTCCTGGCATCTAAACCCCCATTATCTGGGTCATGAATGTGAAGCAGGGATGAACCAGCCAGCCAGGCAACCAAAAGATGTCATTTAAGAACTAAGATCAATGTAAACCCAGGGGCCCACACTGGCTGGAATGGATGAATGAGGTGTTAAGAGGCAGGCAGAGTCCATAAAGAAAAGGCGGGGGTCACCACTGCAAAGATTCTGATCTTTCCCTAAGAGCATACTAGGGTAAAGTCTGGTCCAGCAAAGACATGTCTCTGACAAATTCTCTGAGTTTCTGAGATGTATGCAGTGCTGAGTTAGTTACCAGTTCACCTTGCAGCTCCTTTGCTCCCATTATGTCAGGTGACAACTTCAGAAGTCACATATACAGACTGCCTTAGAACAGTGTGTGCCCCCAGTACTGCGAATCTTCTTACTGTCTAATCCCAACTTTCCTGAGCAACGCATACCAAACCGGTGAGTAGCAGCAGAGGTTCTGAGAACTAAGGCAAAATTGCTGCAGCTGGAGTTGGGGTAGTGGGACATTTTAGAGGACATCTACAGAGGTAAATGCTTTACTCTCTGTACTACATATTCTGCTACTAGAATATTCAGAAGCCAGAGGCCACCAATCTAGGGGAGTGGTAGAGATGGGCTGAAGGGGACACACGTGGGAGGGAGGTGAACGGAATGTACTGCTATGAACTAATGCTTGCTGCCCCTGAGAGCTTCATTCAGAATTTCAAGGAACAAAAACCTGTTTTCCCAAAGGCTGACAAACTGTTCTATAATGGACAAGACAGTAAATACTTTTGGTTCTGTGGGTCAGTCTCTGTCATCACTACTTAACCTGGCTACAGTAAAAATGGAAACGTATGAAGGAATGGGTGCGCTGTGTTCTAACAAAACTTGACTTGCAGAGACAGGCATAGACTAAGTCTGCTAAACAGACTCCCAAAGCATGGCAGCCTCCTCATGACTATGAAGAGCTGCCCAAATGACTATCTTTACAGACCCCTACATGCATTCTCCTCAGCCTCTCCCTCCTCCCACCTTTCCTCCCACTACTTAAAACCCTCTCCTAGTATTTATAACTCAACCAGGCATTGACCTCCCTGTGGACAGAGTCTGTAGTCCTCCTTTCCCACAGGGAGTCAGGGTTCAGTCAGCATTCGGCCTTGCCCTCCTCTGGTCTTCCCTGGGCTCTTGCTCATGTGTCTCTCTGCCGCAGTTAGCAACCCATTTTCTTTGTATTTGTCCATCTTTACCCCATAGGACATAAGGAACCTAGAAAAAAGTCGTACCTTCGTTGTAGACCACTACATTAGGCAGAAATATTGTAAACAGGGCTAGGCCCTCCAAGGAGCCAGTGTAGAGTGTGATACATTGCAACTGTAGAGAAATGCAGACATAGCTGTGGAGGGCCAGACCTCAAGACAAAAGATAAAATAAAGAAACCCACACATTCCTCCTAGGGATAAACAGCCACACTCTCTAGGAAAAGCCCTGTTCTGTTTCACACCTGCTTGTTATGGGTTCTCCATTTGATCCCCATTTAATCAATATTACCTGAGCAATCATGTTTGGAATCTTATTGGTTGACCATAACTTTGTTCCACCTCATGCTCATCTTGTGATTTCCCAGGTCTCCCCACCTTGGACCCGCCTCACCTCTTGATTTTGCTTATCAAAATTCCTTGAAAAGATAGGGTCCCTGGCAACCCACTCGGGACCCCTTCTGTCTCTTTCAGACAGAAGCTTGCTTTCCCAATAAATACACTCTGCTCTTAACCATTGTTGTTCCTAGAATTTATTCTTTGATTTTAGAGAATACGAACTTGTACGCATATCTGGCAGGTGAAGAGTTTCCCCATATCACCTTCTTGCTAGGTCACCAGGCATTATGCAAGTGCTGTTTACAGGGACACACCTGTTTCTGCTACCACCCCCACCCCCACCCCCACCTGACTCCTGGGTATGGGGACATCTACGTGGAGCAGAGACTCCTGTGAGGCCAGGGTTTTCACTATTCCTCTCTGGGAACCTGCTGGCTAATCCATCACTCCACAATTCTATTACCTTATAGGTGAACTTCTTCTCCAAGACTTAGACTCATAGAGATAGTGCTCAATGGACAATGGGATTCCAAGCTTTCAAAGGCTTTCACTTGATGGTGCTCTGAGCTGTGAGGCAGGAGGTATCTGGGACCAGGGCTAACAAGCAGTCCCAGCCTCTGCATAGGACAGACCTGATACCGCAGTCTGACAGGACCAGCCCGCACAAGACCCTCTGTCTCTGCACAGCACATGCAACTTTCAGAAGCCAGCTTCCCCCATCTCTGTTTGGTTAAGAAATTATTTCAGGTCAGAAAACATTAACATTACAGCTTTCCAGAGAAGATTGTGCTGACTGTATATACAAGGGCCTTTCAAAAGAAGGGGACAGATTTACCCTAATTCTTGTGCCCTGTCAATCTGTCCAAACTGTATGTGTGTATGTGTGTGGGGGGGTCCTGATATATCCAAGGAGCTCAGCTCTTACTACTATTTAGGATTTCATTTCATCCGTCACCCTCAAAACCAGCCTAGACTGCAACATCTTTCACCTATAACTTCACCACTACACTGACCTTACAGAACTGTCAACAAGGTATCAACACAAAAGGTAGTTTATGTAGATATGAACACACTGCTGTTTTCACCAGTACCCACAGGGGAGAATGCGCTCAACTTTGGGTTTAAGAGAACATTTTTCCTGCCATCAAAAATGCTTCAGTTTAGGATGAGTCACACTGCTAAGGCTGAACACACAAGAATGGGATGTTCCCGTCAGGTTCTGGGCCAAGGTCTTCCCTAACAGTCCACACAGATGTGCCTAAATCAAGAGAGAGAGGTGTCTGTAGGGAGGCAGCAGCATTTTAAATACACACCAAAAAGCAATAGGCACAAAGCCTTTAGGTACCATATAGGTCTTTATACTCGTGTCTTAGCTCAGTCACTAGGAACAGGCTGCCTGCTGACCTCTAGGTTCTTGAGAGTTGGGTCTGTGCCCTGCAGAAGCTGATAACGGGTGGGAGTTGGGGACCACACAGAGAAGTGAGGCAGGCTCCCCTCAGCTCCTGGAGGGAAGGACTCAGGGCTGTTAAGGCCACCACAGGTTTTTTCCTCAAAGGAATAAACAATGTAACAAAGCAATCAAGAGCCCAAGATCCTACTCATGGGCAATAATAACACACAGTCAAGGGGACCAGGATAGACAAGAGGACAAAGAGCAGGAAGGGTAGCAGAGGGAGAAGAGCCCTTTCTGAGGCTGGGAGAGGTATGACCTGGGTGACCATGACAAAGTGGGGATGAGAAATGAAAGAACAGGTGAGAGGAGAGGACAGACAGCGTTGGTTACCAGGGAGCCCCCACACAGAAACACTCAGAGTGAAAGTTTTCTAACTGAAAGGAGCCCCTCTACCACTCTTCTGCACCTTGATTAACATAGAGATGACAAGTGTTGGAGATGGTACTTCTTTTAAAAAACTTGAAGAACATGGTGCAGGTGACTTTATCTGGAACCAAGCAGGCATTTGATTGAGGGGGTCTGATTCTCCTTCCGTGGTTATTATAAAGTGAGGAGAAAGAGGGGTTAAAAACTGAGTTCAGAAAACCTCTCTCAAACTTCAAAAATCATGACCAATCTCTTCCCTGGGAAGTTTCAGGAAACTGAGTTTAATCTTCTCATCCAGCTCACTGCCAACAGTCAGGATAACTATCTGGCTGAGCAAGGCCTCCATTCAGCCCAATGCCACCCTGCACAGATTTCCTCTCCAAAGATAAAGGGTCCCCAGCAATTCTGTTTTGTGTGGAGGACAAGGCAGCCTTTCTACCGGCACACCTGATATGAACACGGGCCACGCTTATCAGATGGCTCAGCAAAGAGTGCTCATGTGCGCCACCCCAGCTGCACGGCTCAGCCGCGGCCAGAAACTGACTCAGTCTCCATCTCAGTCTGGAGCCCTGGCCCTCGCTAGCACCTCCGTCAGTCGGCTTGGCTGCGGGGCCCAACGGCAAGAAATTGGACAGAGTAAGCCACGGTGAAATACAGTCTTCCATTAAAAATGACCTCACCAGTAATTTTCAGCTTGGCAAACATGCATTTGAGGCTGTTTTACATTTGCATGATGAAAAAAAGTGATTTAATTTCTATAACTGAATCATGTACATATATTCCAAGCAGAGAGTGCCCCAGAAAGAGGAGCTGTTTCTCAA